ATTGGAAACTATCCATTTGAGATCCAAACAACCTCTCTGTCCAATATCTCCAAGGTGGCCAGCAGAGAAAGGCAAAGAAATAAAATGTATAAGTTTGAAAAGGGAAAGAGAAACTATGATTTTCCAGAGATAAAATAATATTATATGCAGAAAATCTAAAAAAAAAAAATCTCTACATTACATTTTGTAGAATTTGCAGAAAACCTTTCACAAGGTTTCTGGACCCAGAAGAGAATGCAATGTACTAATTCCTGTTAGAATACCATGCAAAATAGAAAGTTGTCTTAGATTAGCTCCCTGGACGCAAGAGCTGAGACAAGGAATCAGTGGCACATGATTTATTCAATGGGCACTTTCTGGCCAAATGAAGTAAGGGGAGCAGGAGATTGCTGAAGGAGCCAGGATGAATGCAGGTCTCAGTGCAAGCCTAGCTCAGCTGGGTCCTATGGGGAGCTCTAGAGATAAATTACACCAGAGCTGGTGCGCCTTCAGTCAGGAAGGCCAGCTTGTCCATTTATCGTTGATTTCAGACCACCCTTTCCCCTGGGTGGGAGTGGGGTTATATTTTCCCAGGTGAGGCATCTCCCATTCCGAAAAGGGACATTTTCTGAAGAAAGGGAAAGTTATAAGAAGTCAGCACTAATCCTAACAGCAGCTAGAAACGGACACCCAGGCCTGGTAAAGAGCCTCTGTGGGTGGCATCAACAGTGTCCAGCACTGTCACCCCTTCTTCTCAGTGCTACTCAGCTCTTCCTGCATTTCACATTGTTTATTCTATCCAGGCAGAGTTTCTCCAGGATTCTGGTTCGTCCCAATTTCTGAGCAATTTATAAGAGGAGAATTCGCAAGATGAACAACTGTCCCCACTGCTACGACTGGCCCCAAGTTGATAACTGATGCTCATCAGCCCTCTTTGTTACCTATTCTGGGTCCCTCTTCCCCTCAGCTGGCACCTCTGAGTGGCTTGTCTTGCAGAGTTCCCCATCTCCTCAACCCTGAGAGGTCTCAGCCCTTGATTATCATAAACTTATTAAGATATTTTATATAATAAATGAGATCTTCAAGGTTATTTTCAGAACTCACATGTTTACTCCTATCTGGTAGAATCTATTATTATTAAATAGTCAAACATGTATCATTTCATTTCTGACTGATTCTCTTGAAACATGACCTTTGTTTTTAGTCCACCAGTTCCTTTGGGCGATCGGCTCAGCTGCTGCTCAGTACAATGAAACCTCTGTTTTGCTCCCTGCATGAGTGTTTAAGTGGTATTATTATTTATTCCTGATTTCACCATCTTCCTTTTTTTTTCTTCTAAAACCTAACTTCTCTGAAAATAGAATCTAAAATAGACAAAACCGTGAGCTAAGAATTTTTTTAGCTTAACCTGTGAACTATGCATAGTGGCACAGCCATGCTGACTTCTATACCATGTGATTTTCCAAGTCCAATTTGTCCTCTGGAATACCTTCCATATCATTAGGCAGTTTATTTTTCCATAAGAGAAATCAATTGCATTTCATGCCCCAATGTATTTCTGCCCATTTTAAGAGTCATAGTTCTGTCTGAGGTGTGTATCATCTTTTTTTCTTTTATTTGCTATTGAAGGATATGCTAAGCCTATCTCCTATCTATGGCTGATTTAAATGCAAATAGGAACTACTTGAAACATAAAATGGCCACATGATGACCTTGCAAAGACCTCAAGTCTGACTCAGCAGATGGTCTTTTACCGCCTAGTTGCACTCACGCATTTTTAGTGCTTCAGATAACATGGTTACAATGTAAGTGTAGGGTCTACTGGGGTTTCAGAACTGCTCCAGGGTCCTATCATGATGGAGGTGCCTGGGACTTGTAGCAGAGGGAAGAGACAGATCAAGTGCACTCTGGGTTATTAGGAAAGGAATAGGTACTAGCTACAGCAATTGTGTTACTTAATGGGATGCCTGTTTTATTAAGAGAGATTCTTCATAGTTGTATGCTCTACTGCAGAGATATTTAAACAGAATCTACAGAAATAGTATTTAGGATCACCCAGGTGATCCTTATTATCAGGAAAGTTTGGGAAACAGTGCCTTAAGGAAAAGGTAAGATGTGAGGTGTCTTCCAAAACCTTGCAATATTTAAATGGTGAATGAATGGTTTGTGGTTTTCTGCACAGGTGATTCAGAAGACAAGGGCACCCCAGAGGCACACAATACCATGCTTCCTGCTGGGATGTGTAGGAAACAAATTGTGTTAAACCTCCTCCAGGTCCCCCATCATCAAAATACATCTATTCTGCATAGACTGAATTGTACACATGTTAATCTATACTGGTGAGTTAGTAAGCAGTGAATGCCTCCTGGTAAGCCTGTTGATATTTTTAAGTAGGTCTTCTAGACTTTCATTTTCTCTGCTCAGAGTGTCTCAATCATATCTATATTTGGTGGCAAGAGGGCCATATGTGAGACCTGAAATCATGCAATATTAGCAAATGTGTACACATTAAAATGAATCTTAACAAGGATCTTAATAAAAGGAAAGAAATGGAACATCCTGAGTAGTTACTTCAGTGTAATCAATCCATAAATCTAATCTAACAGAATCCTTCTGGAGACTAATCGATTCCTATATTCCCATACAGCCCGTGGCATTCTCCCTTCCTGCTCTCCCTTTCCACCTCGTGGGTTTTAAAGTTTCTCTTTTAGTATTGTTATGGTTTTCTCAGCTACTAACTATGGTGTCAAATGAGATGCTAATTTTAGGTGGAAATAAACAGTAGGGACAGATGATAGTGAGAAATAAATACACCAATACACCGTTTTCATCAAATTCTTACTATCTTGCATATCATAGTTACTTTTATTCCAAAGCACTTGCCCGGATCATAAATGCAATTTTCTCTAATTAATAGTTTAATGTCTTGCTTGTAGATTGGCCTGGCTTCATCTTCTGATTGTAAGATTTTTTTGTATTTGACTGTTTCTCTGTTTAACTGTACCCCTCCCCCAACCTCATACTGTTAAATACAGATTAAATTGTACGTGCTCACCTCTCAAATGCCTTCTTGAGCTGGGCATTATAGTGAGTCGGGAGCAGGGGCAAGGGAAAAATATACATGTCTAAGGGAGACACACAAGATACCTCTAGCTACTCTTTTCCACGAGAGAATTCAAACCTGACTTGGCCAGATCTTGTTTTTCATAGTAAACTAAAAATCTCATGGTTTACAAATGTTGATAATTGATCTTAATTTGTCAAGAATACTTTGCAAGCCAATCAAAATACACTTCTGAATTATACTGAACCCACAGAGCTGCAATTTGCTGTTATTGGGTTACAGTAATGAGTGTAGCTACAGAACCCTTCGGACCTGGAAAAGAGGCTTGTCCACCCTCCCTACTTTTACTGATAAGAGAATATAAGGACAATGAGCAGGTAGAAGAAGTGATGAGATATTTAGGACACAAATATCTGTCTTTTAGGGTGATTTTCTATGCCCAGCATATACAATGAGTTCCTACAGATTCCAGGGTAGGCGTGCTGAGGTTCTCCACAGCTGTTTCATTGAAGGCCACAGATTTCCCACAACTTTCTCCATCATTCATTGTTTGGCTCCTAAGCATGAATTATATTTACATAGCAGCAGTTCAAACACAAAGAGAGAGGATCTGAAATGCCTGATTGGTGAGTGGTGCTAAGATTAGTAAAATACTGCCTTTATCACTGTATTCAAAAAAATTGTAAATATCTTGGTCTTTAATTATTTCATGAACACGATTTTCTAACTGATAATTCTAACTTGATGAATTCCAAGGAATGCTACACAGCTAGATATTTTTAAGATACAAACTGAAATTAACTAGCAGTTAGATCAATTAAAAGCAGTAACTTAAGATAATGAGACAAATCTGTACATATTTTTTTCTAAACAAATTGTTTATAAATTTACCATTGGGTAAATTATATTCCATTTTGTGTTAGAATATTTCCATATGATTTCATCATTTATTTAAAACAGCTTTTTATATAGTTGGTCTTTCTGAAATCTTTGGAAATTAGAAAAAAAATTACATGTATTTCACAAAATGCTGATTTTTTTTTAAATTATAAAAAAGTGTTAATATAGAGACTAAAATAGTTTTAATATTGGCCCAAAGGGAATGGATTGTGAATAGAATATTTTTTAGATGGTGACTTAATTAAATATACATAACCAGAAAATACACCGTAAAAAAATGCGTGCCTGTGACCTTGCTTCCCTTCCTTGGGCAATAACATTTTGTGATGTGGAACTGTTCTTTAGGA